TATACTGCTTATTTTGTTATATTACACAGCCTTATGTTGGTTTACTGTTTACTTGCATGGGGATATGTACATGCACATTGAGAGCTAATGTACCAGAGTCAAATTCCTCGTGTGCCCGACACACCTGGCCAATAAAGCTGATTCTGATTCTGCCTTTAAAATGAGGAATGTCAAGTTCATACTTCAGCCCTGGTTCAACTGCATTACTCGCTTTGTTTGGCAAGAGCTGATCAAAACTGGAAAAAAGGCAGAGGTGTCATATGACCATCTCTCAATCTGTTGGACTGAATACCAGCTTATTGTCAAAGCTGAAAGGACTGAGTAGACCTAAGGAGTTTTTTTTAATATGATATAAGCAAAATGAAAAAATGTTCCTTTTGTATTAATTACATTAAATTTTCAAAAAACACACCCAGACCCAAGGTGTTATTTAATAGAGTGAACACAGTACTAACTCCTACTGCCCTGAGCTAATGCCTGAAATCTGTGAACATGTGTTAAATTCATCTGATGCTGCTTTAACTGTAAATTAGTGAGTAAAGGCTCACCTTTACACAGCAGAGTCCCCATACTTTTTGTTGAACTAAATTATTTTCTTATATAATGTTATTTGAGTATCTGCCTGTCATGTTTTAATTGGTGACTTGTAATTTCATTTGCCTCTATAAAGCACTTTCCTCAGTTCAGCTGTTTGTAAGTGTGCCCTAGAAATAAAATTGACTTAACTTTGTAAACAATCAGGAGACACTGTAGTTATGCCCCAAAAAGAACATCACTTTATCACATCAAAACAAACCTTATTAAGAGGCCTGGAGGGTGCTCCAATGAAAAGTCTACAAAGAAAGTAGTGGATCAAACTGTGTCTGCCTCTAATGACATGCTGTACTGTTTGCCATACACTGTCTCCTCAGAAATCACACATTAGTGTTGACAGACACCAGGAAGGTCTACTCTTTTGGATGCGGTGAACAAGGGCAGCTGGGACATGGAGACGAGAGCCATCCTTCTGTGCCACTACCTGTTCAGCTGCCACAGGGTAACTGCATTTCTGGTACACCCAAGTGAACAGATGTATGAAAAGAGATGACATTTTTACACGTTGCTTATAATTTCAGACAGAGGTGAAATCAGAAACATCTTTGCAGGAGAAAACTGTTCGTTTGCAACATGTACATCTAACAAGGTACTGACACTAATACATATAGTACCGAGCATGGCGGTAAGATAAGAGTGTGAAAAAAACTCAGTTAATTTCTTTCACAGGAACGTAATACCCCAGTTCTTTTATTGGACAGCTCTGAATAACGAAGGAGTCCGTCTTTCTTCATCTAGTGCTGGTTTATTTTAACCACAAGCAAAATTACAAACACGACCCAGATTGCTCCCTTTTCAGACACACACGCAGGCTGCTGGGAAAGTGGAGACCCTTGCCACACAGAACCTAATTCATTTATAAGGTTTAGGCTAACCCCTTACCCAGATGAAGTGAATCCAAAGACTCCATGTCTTATCTAGTGCTCCACATGCTTTGAGCAGCCGCACTTTTACCTAGTCATAACAAAATGAAGAATTTCAATGTGTATGTATGTTGTCACATGGTGTGTAGCTAAGGCATTCATTCATTCATTCAGACAGAATATTCTAATATAAGGTTAATGCAGGAAAAGAATTGGTGTACCTATGGTTCACTTTTCAGAATCAACATTCTGTCTGCTAAAGTTAATGAGGAGTCAAACACTGCTGATGTGAGTAATGAAAATCAGCACTGTCTTGAAACAATGATTGACAGATGGACTTCTCAGCATGATTCAAAGGCATGGAAAAAGATAAAACAGTAAGTATACTGCAGTAGCAGTTATTTTTCTCAGTATGTTGTCAATAGTTTGTGGAATAGCCTGAATTATTTGTTTGGTGTCATGGACTAAAAATGTGACTTTTTCACAGGGAAATTCACAGCACATTTTCCTCTGCATCCTGTTTAAATAAACTCTTCCTTGACCAAAGGTAAACACATCACCTGTGTGGATGGTGGTGACTTTGTTTAATCTGGTGAATTAGAGCATGTACTTTTATGCCATCTTGGGATTGTCGGTGTCAGTCTGCTGGTCCTCTGTACTTTGTGTGCTACTGTGCTACAGCCTGAAATATTTCAACAACTCTTAGGATACTGATGAGATTTGGTGCAGATGTTCATCGTTCCAACATGAAAAATTCTAATAATTCTGGTCAAACCCTGACTTCTTATCATTGCCTTTATGGGATCAACATTTTAACTTCCCAAATATTATGGTTTATAACCAAAAAGTAATGACATTGTCTTCACTGTAGTTGCTAAACATGCTAGTATGATTGTGCGCATTTAGCTGGAGGCACTACTGTGCCTGAATACTGTCTCACAGAGCTGCTAGCATGGATGTAGACCTACTGTAGCCTTGTTTCTTTCTGTTTAGCAAAGATAAACATTTCCACACCTCAGCAAAGTACCCCGGCTTGAAGTTGTCAATTGCACGACGTGCTTTCAAGAACCTGGTAAAGAGAGATGATGTTTGGTCAGAGGTAGGTACCTGATATGTATCTAAAGTGTAGTTACTGTTATTGTTAGCAGGCAGTAACTATGTATTTATTCTGAAAATGTTTCTCATAAACCTGCTGACTTGTTTGAGGCTTTTAAAAATAACCAAATAGTCCTGATGTTTTTCCTCTAAGCACCAGCCTGCACTCTTCATACCTGAACTCAGCTGCTAGTGAGTGACCCTTGTGACTCTTGTCAAATTGACAGGTTGAGGCAGCCGTCTTGCACCTGCTTCATTCCCTTGATATGAAATCAGTGGGAGTGGAGGGGCTAAGGGTCTATCTGCTTCTCAATGAGTTTCTGCATGCGGTCCAGAAAAACAAGCGGCGACAAAACACAAAGCTTGCAGATGCAGTCGCTGCAGCCGTGCTAAGCTTGTCTGCTGAAAGCCTGCAGGTCATAGGTAATGTCACCACTACACGTAAAGTAATGTCTTCATTTGTTCTTATTTTGTTGATAAACTGGGGTACACTCGGGTTACAGTCACTGAGATCTTCATGAACATAAACTCTGTTTTTGATCCTGTTGTGCATTGTCTGCTTTTTTCTGCAATACAATAGGTTTTCAATGTAATGACATTAGGTAGTGACCTCACCATAGAATCATTATTAGTAGTGGCACAGTTTGCCACCCCTGTACTGGATTCAGATTGCAGAAAGCAGAAGGGAATCACAGATAATGATGCAGGCATGTAATCCAGTTCAGTCTTATTCATCACAGCCACACTCTACTGTTCACTCTTCTTTACACCATATCAAACATGTTTTGTCATTGCCAAAACAAACTGAATATTTTTCCTGCTGCTTTTTTCACATTAAAAGCAGTCAACAGGTGAAATACAGGGAGGGTTTTATTGTGAAGCTGACACAAGATATACAATATATCTAACGATTGCGATACTAGACAATGGCAATTTGGGGAAGAATTTTAAATATGGCAAGGAGTAAGTCCTGCTGTGTGGGAAAATTCTTTGTACCAAGCAAGGAGTAAGTCCTACTGCTGTGTGGGAAAATTCTTTGTACCATGAACAGTGTTAACAGTTGCTTTTATTGTTAACTCATTTCTTGATTAAAACAATGTGAGTCTATTTGGCTACGCTGTAAACAGATACGCTACCTATAATATCAAACCACAATGCCTGTGATACCAAGTCAACCTGAACTGAAATCGTAAGTTTTATCATATCAACTATTTGGAGATATGTCCTTGTCATCTGCACAGTGGTGAAATGCTCACTGACATTAGCATTTGTCTTCATCAGGGGACTGGTGGTCTTCACTGTCACCCTCTACCATGGCTAAATATGTTGGGGTGTGGAAACAGGCCCTGTCAGTGAACCTGTCCTTTGAACCTGTTCCTCGCGACTCAGTCAGAAACCTGCTACTAGTCCTTCAGTATATGTACAATGTTAGTACCAGTTGTGACATGTTGTAAATGTCCCATAGCATAATCCTAAAACAGTAATCCTACTCACTCTTACTACAAAGCAGACTTTTTTTTATTTGCTGAACTTTTCCTTTGTTTTAAAGACCAACAGCAGGATTGCAGAACCTCACAGGATACCAGAAAGCCATTTTTGTTTGTTGCTTGACCAAGACTTTCTTTACGAGGATCTGGAGCTTTGGCGCCTTCAGTCACAGCACTTGGTAAAAAAAAATATCTTCTGTACATCATGAGTCTCCTTTATTTTGGCCACTGTGCAGACACCGTCTGTTCATGTCTTTTTGTTTTCATGTATTGATGAACATAGCATTGTTTTTTTAGACTGTGCCCGCTCAGCCACTTATCCTTTGTAACTTTTCAATTGTGATGGATATGCAGTCAAAGAAGATGGTTTTTGATAAGAATGCTGAATATACCAAGGTAAGTGGAGTCTTGTGACACACCTCATGAGAATTAGACATCACACACAATACTGTCAGGATCAAGAAATCCAATGGATTTTGTGTGTGTGTGTGTATATATACATAGTATGATAGAATACATGTCCTCTGTGAGAAACACAGTGAAGTTGACTGTCAGTTACTCAACAAGAGGACATGACAGTTACAGTACATATGATGCAGTAATCTGTAACAGCCAAACAACAACATCATCTACAGCAACTCTAAGAGCATCAGAGCCATAGGGCAATCCAAAATACAGATATAGTGACGAATAATTGCAAAATGACCAGATGAACTAAGAAATTCCTAGGAATGGTTCTAAGATACTTCATACATGTGGTCCCTGATCTTTAAATGTTTTGATACCTTTCCCACATCAAATCCCATGAGAAATGAAATCTTGAATTTTTCTCCAGTTGGAACAAATGAATTTCAACATGTGGAATTTGCTTTGGGGAATAATCCCGGATCCTCAAGACTTGCTATTCATATTGGACCTGAGGCGCGACTCGGTTTTGGAAGACACCTTTGACCAGCTGGCTGCTGCTCATCACAGTGTCTACAAGAGGCAACTTATGGTACACAGTAGGACCAAAGTCCTACTAAAACTTGTATTATTGATATTTATTTATTTATTGTTACAGGCTATAAGTTTAACTTTTATCCTGTTGTCTTTTAGGTCTGTTTTGATAAAAACCTGGAACTTGATAATATCAACACAAAAGACCTTTTTCACGAAGTTTTTCACGAGATGATGTCCGCTGAATCTGGGATGTTCATGTATAACGACTCTGAAACGTTGGCATGGTTCCCCTCCAATGTAAGACTGTACATCCTCAACATTTTTTTGAACAGATTGAACATTAAATACCTGCCATGGATGATGATTATGAGCAGAATTGAAACAATATTCACTTAAGTTCAGATTTCACTGTCCTACCCGTTAACTGTGTATACAATAGACGCCACATCACCACTTCCCTCCACTATGCAAAAATGATATGAATACATCGGCTGCCATCTTGCTTTTTTGCAACCAGAAGTGGAGTGACAACATTAGACCTCCAATCAAAGCTGTCAAATCAACTGAAATACAGCCTTTTTTATGTCATCAAATAACTTACAGTGCCTTGCGAAAGTATTCGGCCCCCTTGAACTTTGCGACCTTTTGCCACATACCTAAAACCATAGAAGTGACCTGTGATTTGTACTTTGGCTCATGTCACGTCTACTAACATGGAGGAGGCAAAATGTTTGACCTATACTGCAACCAGCCACCAGGGAGCGATTGAGTCCTGGTGGCTCCACCTGGTAGCTGTCAACCTGTCCATCGTTTATACAGTCAATGGTTCTACCTCATTAAAAATAATAATAAATTCAAGCAATATGCATACAGTGAATTTAAATGTCTCTGCCATCAACACCAGGCAACACAGGGACACGAGAAGTACTTCCTGTTGGGCGTTCTGTGTGGATTGGCCTTGTACAACCAGTGCATCATTCACTTACCCTTCCCACTGGCTCTGTTCAAGAAGCTGCTTGATGTGAAGCCTTCACTGGAGGATATGAAGGAGTTCAGTCCAACAGTTGGAAAGTAAGTGGAAACTGCTGTAAATTCAAATCAAAAACATTTGTACTTTTAGGTGCTGATTTCTTGAGCATACAGAAAACACTGTATATCATCATTAAATGTTAACGCATTTGTTGTGTTTTAAGGAGTCTGCAGGATATCCTGGAAGATAAAGATGACGACGGAGAAGACCAGTACTTATATTTTTCAGTAGGTGTTTTACAGATGGTCAGTAGCTTTGAGTGTGTTGCAATGCATATAGAATCACTGTACAAGTATAAGACCAGTTCCCATTTCCTAAAGCAGTGATATCACTATCTGCTTCTTTCTTATCAGATCAGCTGGGATGGGACAGATGTTGATCTTGATCCTGACAATCCTGAACAAACAGTGACAAGTCAGAATAAGTAAGGACCAGGAAAGTGTTTATTACTCATCATTTTTGCTACTTCCTTGTGTGTTGTATTATTTGACTATACTTTAAAGAAAATATTAGTGACTACAATACACTACAAATTTGAATCATTTAACAGAGTCGTAGGTGTCACATGCATATACAGTAAGTATCATAATTGTTTTGTTGCCTGACACCCAATAAAGTAGTAGAACATATAATACTTTAGATTATTATGGAAAAAAACAAGTCACTAACTTCTTCTGGGTGTTGTACAATGGCTTTATCAGAGGTTTTTTATGCTGGAACCAGCTGCCTGCTGCCATCAGAAACTGCACTGAGCGTGAGCAGTAAGAGTGAGTGTGAACCGAACCAGGAAAGAGCCAGAAAACCAAAACAAAGATCAAAGATTTTTATTGTCAATTCACGATATATGCAGGACATACAGAAAACTTGAAATACTGTTTCTCTCTTACCTAATGTTGAATGACCATATCCTTTAAGAAACTAAAATAGAATAAAAGTAGAATAAACAGAATAAATATAATATGAAAACTGAATTCAAGTAGACCTGTCCAGGTTGTACCCCACCTTCGCCCGACTGCCGGCCGGGCTTGACCCCCCGCCGCACCGTGA